TTAAACTAGAAAAAACAGCGACGTTTTGTCGACTGATGCACTATTATTAATTAAATAGTATTTAAATTTCATATATTGATATATATTACTTATAAGATTACATCAATAATAAATTTATAAAATAAATTTTCATTATTCTTTGTTATATTTAACAAAATCGGTTAGCAAATATACAAATAGGGGTGTCAGTAGAAACCAGGCAAATTGTTTTTAGTGAGTTTGTTTAAAATTTTAAATTAAAATATCTCAACAACTATTAAACCAAACTTTATAAATTTATTTTTATTTTAATTCTATATTTATATAAAATTAAAAAAAATTTTTTTATCAAGTTTAGTTTAATAGTTGTTGAGATATTTTAATTTAAAGTTAGAAAAAAATTTACTTAGAAACAAATTGCATGGTTTCTACTGACATCCCCAAATCTTTAATTCATCTACAAATACAACCCGGTTACAAGTTCCTTATTTCGGTTTATTGCAATATTAACCCTTAAGACTTATGGATTATAATTGTTGTTACGACCAAGGGAGAGACTTTTTATCCACTGAGCCAATTTAGCTTAGGGTCGTAAGCATTAAAAGAAATAAACCAAATATTTATTAACACACACAAGGCACCAAAATGTATATCATCATTTCACATATGATTAGTTCGAGAAAGTTACTTCATTATTTAACCAATATAGATAAAATTCAGTAAATCCGATTAAGGAATTGTGCTTAATTAATTTTAATATAATTAATGATATTCAGACTGACTAGAAAAACAATTAATATTCTTGTAGCAATAAGAATGAATACAATAGATATTTCATCACTCAACCAAAGAGACATTTAGCTTTGCGTGGCAACTAAAATTCAAGGATAGTTTAAAGTTCAATTCATATAGAAAATTTAAAAATTAAATATATGTACTGTACCTCGTATCGATTGCTCCAGTAATACGGAAAGAGTATTTACCTATTTTATCGGCCAGGTTAATAGTTTCATCTGCGTATTTTCGTTTACTCTTTTCATGAAAGATTTTGTAATATTCCTGCTGAACCACTTTTTCTGGCGGTTGAGATTGTATTATTGCAGTTACTGAATTTTTACCGTGCACTTTAAAGGCTTTAGCTTATTTTCAAAATTAATAATTTAATACAATTTTATATTAAAATTTTTACGTTATACATGTCTAGTGATAATAAAGACTTACAGCCCAAGTAACTACTAGATATAGTGAAGAACACTCGTCTCCACACCATATTTCATATGAAAGCATCCCTCGAGAAATAATATTTTTTTCGAATTTTCTATAATTTAGAATCAATATATGCAATGAGTATATTGTCGTTATCTGTAATCATAGAAATTTCATAAAAATTACATACGAGGTCCTGGTGTCATCTGGATGAATTTCAGCCAATGGGCCCTCTATTTTGGTCGCCAAGTAAAGTCGAGGATCGCGAAGTTGTATGGCTTTGTGCCGATTCACAATAGTAATTTCCACACTTGTTTTTATTCCAGCTAATAACTTTCCAGCAATCACGTCTTTCACGACCGAATACACAGAGATCGGGATGAGAGACATTTTTATTATTATAAAGAATAAAAAATTACTACCGCAATAAAAAAAAAAATTATTCAAATTACAAAATTGGTCACCTTATAAATCCCTAATTAACTTTCCAAAAAGGACTTGTGTAATAAATATGGACGTTTATCGGTCCTACAGCATGTTCTATAGAATAGGTGGTCAAACTCCACAAACTCCGCAAACTCGGCTATTAAAAATTAATGATTACTAATCATTAGCAAAGCTTATTCTTATATTGCCCACCTATTCTATAGAATATCACTACAGCAATCAGTGTTGGCAAATGACAATATCATAATGGCATATGATATGTTTGCATAATATAGAATCATATAATATATGCCATATAATATAAAATCATGTCATATTATTATTATAAGGTAGCTATGCGACGCTGTTGCACTAAAACCAGGAACGTAGGCTCAATGATCTTTATAATTATACAAGAGTCAATGCAACCTATTTTTTATCAAAGTGTCATTCTAAATTGATGGATTGATGATAATGTCACAATATCTATCAATCAAGCATATCAAGATTATGGATGGATTCAAAATCTGGCATCGGTTTTGACCGGTGTAACTATCAAGTCGGGAGAGCAACAGAGACAAGGGTGCCAAGATAACCCAGGATAGTTAACGAACGTCAGATAAGTATATGCAGTTGTATGCAATCGGTGAGTAAGTATTAATTAACAAGTATATGTGTAAATAGGTACAGACGTCACGAGAAAGATAAAGAAGCATGCGAGAATGAGATAATATATAATAGTGTTATTGTAAATGATATAGTCATAAGATACGATATAATATAAGGACGCTTGATGGTCTTTATTTATAAAGGAGAGACTAC